CTTCTTCCAAGGAAAAAATAAAAACTCAAAGAAAAAGACTTGGCCAACATAGAGACACATTCAGTTTGAGCTCCATCCACCATGCAAAGCCTGCGAATATTGGGGTCTGTGCAGATACTTAGCACACACCTGTATAAAGATGAGTGCCTACAACAAAAGGGTCAGGCTCATTTCATTTAGTTGTTTGCAACCACCTGTGAGTAGAGTCTACTAACATTGTTTTACTGATGAGCAAAGGAAGGCTTGAAGAAATAAATTGTCCATGTTCACACATCCAGTAGGTGGGCGAAATGGGATTTGAACCGAGATCTGCCCAGCTTTTAAATGTATGTGCTTCTATGCTCTGCGGCACCTACCATCATGGCACTCAGAAGTTAGAAGAAATTCTGTTTCCTGTTTTCCCCCAAGAGCTCAGTAAACGAAAATTTCCAGCTTGTAATCTTTTCTCTCAAGGGGGAGAAAGAAAACCCTTGGGTTTCTAAAGCAGTAAGAAGAATAAAAAAAGTAATTCGATTGTATCTGGGTTTTTTACTAAGTTGTATTTTGGTAATAATCGTGGACCTTTTTCAAACAATATCAAGAGATCTAGGATTTTTCCTGTAAAAAACTATCACTACTTAAAACACATGTCTCTTCTTAAAAGCATGGATTACATGCGCGGTGGTTCCGTTACGGGGTGTCACAGTTGAAATGTAAGAATGCATTGGGGTTAGGATTCTTTTCCTCAACAAGAAAAGCTGGCAAATTCAGGAACTACAGTTCTCTGGGCCTTTTACGTTGTTAGGTTTTTGGGTAAGCAGAGCTGCAGACCTTGGTCATGGGCGCTGGTCCTTGAAGTATTAACTGCGTGAATTCCTAAGTGTCTGATCAAAGTCTTAGACCAAGTTCGGTTGCTCATATCCAAAAATAAGTCAAAGCTTCTTTCGGTCTCAGTACAAAAGTGCAGATGGCCAGCTCTCCTGATTGCTGGGGTCTTGGGTATCTCCGATCCTTACTAGATGATGATCTCCATGTGAGCAGACGTTTTGCTGTCACAGCTGTCTCTCCAGTGTGTTCCGTAAATCATCCATCCGGTAAATAAAGCTGAGACTATAGCACCAGTGTTTGTATACTCTCAATCTGAAAACCTTTCTAGCATAGAGTATGTCCTTCTTCGCTTCTTATGCTCGTGAATATGATTTAATCATTTCTGGCTGACTCGGGGACAGCACAGAGCAGAAGTTGTTCTATTATGCATAATACAGCGATAGCCTCAAGGTCTAGTGGGAGGCAGTTTGCCCTATACTGGAGATTTCTCGTGCTTGTTGTGTTCTTATGGTCTGATTTTATCATTTTTATGTCTCCATTTCTGTTTTAATAGACTCTGCAGTAAGACAAGAAAGCTGTGTCTCTCAGCCCCTGTATAGGTGATTACTAGCTGCTTGCTCTTTGCTGCGGGTATTTTAAACACAGATTTGCAAGCTCATCAGAATTGTGTGTAAGAGTAAATAGGCAATAAGTGCAATGTAGCTTCTTTCTGGTCCTTGGCTATATACCCCCAAATGTGGATTTGCTGGATAGCTAAGTTCCAGAAAAGTGAGGTATTAGTCTGTGAGCGGGATTTTCCTTCACTTCCTTCATCTGATGAGTTTCTTCTTCTACTTCCCTCCTTCCTTCCATCTCTGTCTCTCTTTCTCACAATATGAAACTGGCTGGGGAAATGAAAGTGAATGGGACACATTCATCCATGTTGAAAGCTAACGTAGTGGTCAAAAACCATCTTTGAAAGGCACACTGTGCCCACTGTTGGATCCTAGACCAGCCTCATACCTTGTTTAATGACACCATGTTTTACAAGGGTCACCCTATTCCTCACTGTCAGGTAAATATGCCTGCAGGGGCTCCTAATCAGCTTGGTGGGTCCTGCCACCCTGCTGGTCTCTCCCCTTGGCCCACAGGGACCCTGCTGGTCAGGGGAGCTCCGTCACACACCCTCAGACATACTGCTCAGCATAGCTGTGTCGCCCAGTTAGCACTCCTGGTCCCTCCGAAAGTCCCTCCTTCTAGGGAACACCAGCCTTCCCTTCTCTGCCCCACCAGACACCTCTAAGCCACTTTGTAAGTGAGCTGTGTCTTGATTTGGGAGGCCAAGTGGACAGTGGAGCCTGGAGCCTGGGGTGAGGTCAAGCAGAACCCAGCCACACCTTCACACACACACCCCCACACAAACATGCACACACAATGACCCTGGCAAGTCAGACCAGTCTTGGAGCCTAGTCTCCTGTCCATAGAAGGAGCTTGTATGGATTTAATCAGCACTGCTTCTGGCCAGGCAGGGGCTAAATCAGAGGCACCCCAGTCCTGCAAAGATGTGGTTCGTGTACTTAAAGGGGTCGTGCATCCCTTAACAACAGTGCCCTCACCTTCTCTTGCACTCCTCATAATGCTGGGATCGCCAAAGTAAAAACTAACAGTCTTTGCACATTTGTTTTTGGCCTCAGTTTTCTGTTATTCCCCAATGAGGATCATTTCATTTGAGGCCAGTATGTGAGAAAAGGAGATCAATTTTTTCCAATGAGATTTTAGTGCAACTCTGACCAACTCTTCTGATTGCCTTCGCTACCACATAGTGGTGGCTCAGGAAACTGTAGGATTTGCAATGCTAGGAAATTGCTGCTAATGCAGTGGAAATTTTTGCTGTTGAAAGAATTTGGTCTCTTCTGCATAATGGGAAGAGAGCAGAAGCCTGTTTATCTGCAGCAGATGACAGAACAGAGTATATGTTCAAATGAGGAAAATGCCGTTCTGACTACATGTAAAACAAAAAGATAGAGAATTGTTATAAGGATCCAAGAGAGCCTTGCAGTTTTCTGCCATCCGTTCTGTTGATTGTTTTTCTTTACATCCCTCAACCATCTTACTTCCCTCTTGGAGGAATTAAATGTTCTGCAATGCAGCAGGATGGAAGGGGCCCACAACATGCAAGCCCAGTTCTCCACTGGGAGCTCCTGTGTCAGCTTTTCAAACAATCTTTCTCTGGTAATCATCTTTAAAAAGCAGAGATTTGCCTTATCTCCAAACTGGGGTTTACCTTACCTAAGAAACTGTGTCTTGGAGGGATTGTTAGAAACTGGTTCAAGTGGGGAGCACACCAAGTGAAATTTTGGAGTTTACCAGTGATCGATGGGCATATACCCTAACAGCTCAAGAGTCCCTCAGTTTAGTTGATGATAAAGTTGTAAGTTGCTTTCTTTTCCTTTATGAACTTTTTAGTAAGATCAGTTTGTAACATTTAGATTTAAAATAATTTCAGGCTGGCAAAAACTTACAAAAAGTACTGAGTTCCCAAACACCCTTCACCCAGGTTCATCTTATGTGACTGAAATACTGTGCATTGTCTAAGCTGGGACATGGACATCGGTGCCAGATTCAGACCTCTCCCATCCTCCACTGACATCCTTCTGGCCCTAGATCCCACCTGACGTGTGTCATATCTCTTCAGTTTTCTCGACTATGGACATATTCTTCAGTCTTCCTTACATACTCACTCTCTTCACACGTTTGAAGAGCATGGAGCAGTTACTTTGTAGAATGTCCTTCAGTCTGAATGTGTGTGTTTCCTCCTGATTAAACTCAGGTTATACAGGATCAGGAGACACCAGATGCCCACGTGTTTCATGTCTGCTGATGATCACTTTGATCACTTGGTTCAGGTGGTCTCCGATATTGCTATGTCTCCCTTCATAGTTGGGAGGCATCTATCCTGTTCATACTGTTCCTCATTATTTCATTTATTAATTTTAACATCCGTTACTGTGGTGTTTGCCAAATGGTGATTTTTTTTTTTTCTATTTCTGTTTTTTGCACTTAGTAATTGGAAGTCTACTCTGAGGACCGTTATATATTTTTAAAAGGAGGGGCATAAAACTTTTTAAATAGCAGTAGCAGCTTCACTTTTTCTGGGAGGGCAATTATGAATGACATGAAGCAGAAAAATATGCAGAAGCCTAAGTAATCTCAAATATGAATGTTATTTGAAACGTCGTTGCCATTTTTTCCTTCAGAGGAGGTGAAGGAGAAGGGAGGAGATCTCAACTGCCAAAAAGGTCCCATTAATTTTGGTCCTGGCTGAAAGTGCCTCTTGCTCTTGAGGACTCTGATGGAACATAATTGCAGGCCTGACTCTGAAGCAGAGGCCCTGAATGTTTTGGATGTGTTAGGAAGGCTTACCCACCATAAGAAATTCAATTAATAATATGAAATTTTATCTCTGAGCTTATAATGCTGTAATTGAAAAGGTGCTCCAGATACTGTTTTCTTCTTTTAGAATAGGTACTATTACTGGCATCAGTGAATAATTTGGAGGAGCCCCCCTCCCATTTAATTAAATTTCAGCAACCCAACATCATATTCATATAAGGAAATCTTTAATTTGAATTCTCTGCCACTGAAAGATTAAAATTACTCTTTAATCTTAGAATAAAAATTATTTAAATATATATTTTACAATATATATTTAAATATATTGGGCTATTTTATTCTTTGGTTTTAATACTACTTATATGAGCATTTATATTTCTTATGCCTTAAAAGATTAAGAAAGTATTTGTACTCAACTATATTTTATTAAAGCTCGTGCATCTATTTGAAAGAACTGTGAATGACTACATTTGTTAATATCCTGCAATCCACCCCAGTTTGTAATTTTATCACACTCAGACAAGATCATACTAGGTACACTAGGCTTCCTGTGGCCCTCATTCTTCTTCACTGATATTAGTAACTTCTTACAAATTAAATTTTAGGAGTTTGAAATGTAACCGTTATATTCGGAAAAGGAAAAAAAAAAGAACCTCAGGCACTCTCAGCCACAGATGCTCAATGGGACAGACACACATTTTCAGGGCCAAACAGGAATGTTGGCAGCAGCACTGATGGTTCTGAATTAGTTTGGATGCTAAATATGTGTCTTTTAAAGGTGTGGCCGCCTAGAATTCAGAAGACTTTGTACTAAGATTCTTCTATGTATGCAGTTCCTTGGTGAATGTTTTAAACTTGGCCTCAGAGCAGAAGCAGATAGCTAACACTGATTTGTTATTTCTAGACCCCCAGTTCCCACGCTGGAATAAATCCCACCGAATTGATTGAATTATTGCATATGGAACAGCTTCAGTAGCTGCACTCGGACATGCAGACGGGATGCCGTCATCTTTTGCAACGCGGCAGGGTGGCCCCAGCCTTGGCCGGGTCGGGCTGCGGGTGGGGCTCGACTGGCGCATGCGTGGTGCGGAGGGCGGGCCGGTCCACGTGACCGCGCCACGCCCCCGCCACGTCACGTGGCCCCCGGGCCCGCGGGGCGAGGGGCCCGAGAAGGGGAGCCGCGGGCGTGGCATGGCGGTCCCGAGGATCGCGTCCGCTCCGGGCTGCTGCCCTCTGAGTTTCCGATCCCGGTGGTGCAAATCCGTAAAGCAGTCCCTGTGTGTCTCTGAACCCCGGGCTGGCTCACGTTTCCCCCTGAAACCGTGGTCTGAGGCGTGGGGCCGCTGGCGCGGTGTGGAGCCACGCCGCCGCCCCTGCGACGTGGCAGGATGGGTGTGGCCGGGGCTTCCCATGTCGAATTCCGCTTTCCGGTGGACGCAGAAATCGTTCACAAAAAACGGACTGCAGAGTCTGGGTTCTTAAGGAGGACTGAGTTTTGGTGGAAAACTAGCCGCCCTAAAGTTGTAAGAAGAGTGCTCTGCGGCTCCGGCCGCTGGACGGGCCTCGCAGGGTAGATGACCTGCTGAGGTCGTTCAGGGCGAGATTCTAAATAAAAATAAAAGGTGTAAATGTGATTGCAAGAGAGAAAAATTAATGCGAACGGAGAGGGTTCATTCTCACATTGAGCTGAAGTCATGCGATCCTGCGATTGCGCCCAGTTCCTCGTGCACTCAGGTCAAATACCGATCGACCTCGGCCGGAAAGTTGGCCCATCCACGGGAAGATGTTGGCGCCTCCATCCCCCGGCGCCGCTGCGGGCGCGCGCACACACTCTTTATTTCCCGGCACCCAGTAAACACAGATTCTAATTTAAATCCCGGAACTCTCATTTCTTCCCATTTCACGTGGGAATTTAAGGTTTTCTTCGGTTTGCTTTCTGTTCATCTTCATCAAAATGCAGTAAAGCAAGGGAGTTTATTAATGGAGATCCAGGTTATAGAGACAATTTGGTGAAAGAGGGAAAGATTCGAAAGGTTAAACCTCGTCTTAAAAATCGGAAACAGACTCTTGTTATTAATAACTTTGAAAATGGACATCGAACTCTTGATAAATTATTTCAGAGGAGTTCTGGGGACCAGACACGCGGGAGGTAACTGTGTGTCTGCTTATCAATTGCCGTGATTTCCTTGCTTCGGCTCCAGAAAATCAGAATATTCATGAGCTTTCAGGTCTGACTCAGACCTTCAGGAGCCCTGAAATTTTCCTGTTGGGATGAGAGGCAGTGCTGTCAGTGGTTTTGGCAGCTGAATGAAACTAGAGGGAGAGAAGCAGGGGAGAGAGGGGTGATGTATGTTGGTTTGGCCTCATCATCCTGCTTTTAATTTGTGAAACTTAAAGTTTTAAAAGTCTTGTTGAATGTGTGATCCTTTTTAGAATTCACTGGTTATATATCGGAAGTGGCTTTGTTTTTGCGACTTTGTTGAAACAAATGACTGAGGTTTTTGTGTTTTGCTCTTTCTGCCCAGGCAGCATTGCTACACTTTTTTAAATTCATGAAATACTGACCAATGAGCCTGTTCTTTAGCCCCCCTCTCCTTTTGTAACGAGAGGACGAGGAGGCAGACACCGATGGCGCCTCTCACAATGGAGGTTTGTTTGTTTATTTTTTAATTTAATGGAGGGATTGTAGATGGTTTAAAATTTCGTTGTGCCTGGACAGAGAGAAGAGAGGAGAAAAAGGAATAATTAGTCTGTTCTAAACAACTTCAGCAGTAGATAGTCCATAGGCATTAACTTCAGACAACAACAGAAGCCTCATTCTGGACCTCATCCTCTGATGTTTTACACAAATTTGATTTGTTAATTAGAATCTTTCTTAAAGGCAGAAATGCACTGAAGTCGTTTTTAAGAACTTTAATTAAGTTATATGTTAATAAAGATGGCAATTTGTAATTTCCTGTTGAAATATATGAGAAGCCCTGCTCCCGCCCCCGCCCCCGCCCCCGCAACCCCAAGGCTCGCTGGCCGCTTTAAGAGTTCCTACTCAGCTGCTTCCGTCTTCCAAGCCATGGTCCTCACAGCGGAGGTATTCTTGTCCTTCTGATGTGCATCTTTTATGACATGAGTGTTTACCTTGAAATCATTATCTGTGTGTACATCTCATCTTCAGAGCCTGCCTACAGAAGACCTTGTGCATTTCTGTCAGCCCTCACGGTGCATGGTATATCTTCCACACACGTGCAATTAGGTGTTAGAAAGTGTTAGTGTTAGCTCAGTCCTGTCAGACTTTGCGACCCCATGGACTGTAGCCCACCAGACTCGTCTGTCCATGGGATTCTCCAGGCAAGAGTATTGAAGTGGGTTGCCATTCCCTTCTCCAGGGGGTCTTCCTGACCCAGGGATTGAACCAGGGTCTCCTGTATTGCAGGCAGATTCTTAACCACTCCACCAGGGAAATCCCAACCACCAGGTGTTAAATAAACAAATATTTAATCCATAAGAACTGACAGAAGAAATGCCCTGTGTATCTTTTTTTAAAAAAGCCATTGTTACTAAACACTGTGTTTGGGGTAGTACTAATTCTTTGCCCCACCAATTTGTGTGAATTATGACATGAAAAGTAGAAATAACTGAGAAAAAATACAGATTTAGATTAAGCACAGCAGTAAACTTGTCAGTTTTTTTAGATAGCCGGAATCATGGCTTTTTGGTCCTTTGGGGTGGCCCAGAATGGCTCTAGCAGATCTGTAAGGCAGATCACGGTGGTCTTAGTGCTGAGTTGCTGGCCTTGAGTGTTTTTCTGCTCATCAGCACTGACTTCCTGTTGAGTCACAGTCTCTTTGCTTCTCTGTCGCCTCATCAGTGAAGTAATGCTGCTTCCTTTCATCCTGAGCGGGTTATGAGAGTTCCAGTGGAAGGTGCATGGTAGATACTGGTAGAAGATTGCCTGGGTTGGAATTTCTACCTCTTTGTCTTTCACACTATGTGACTCTAGGCAAGCTGCTCTCTACGCGCCTCAGTTTGGGTTCAGAGGATGGGGAAGTAGCCTGGCTGTCTCTTTGTAAGTTGCAGAGATTAAATAGGCAGTGTTTGCCATACTCCTAGCACATGCAGTGGTGAGTGCCCCCTAAATGCAAGTGCGTTGCTGTAATGATAACATTCATGTCTTCCCTCACCACTAATACCTTCAGCTTTTACTTTTATCAAGCTTTTGAAAGAAAGAGAGAATTGTTTTCATCAAAATTTTTTAGTCTGCCCAGAAGCATGTATGACCTAAAAAACCTTGGTGTTGGGTCAGATGATTTCTTTGGTTATTCTAGGGGAAAACCAGCCGAGAGATAACCAGTGGACTGTGGGTTTATTTCATTTTATTCCTCATTATCTGAAGTGGCTCCTCTGATTTTTGTCATGTTTCTTCCTTTTTAAGTAGAGAGAATAGTTTTTCGTATTATTATTGTCATTTGTTTAATAACAACTATCAAAGAGAGTAGTTTTTCATATTATTCTTGTCATTATTGTTATTTGCTTAATACCAACTCACTATCAAAACATAAGAAAGTACTTATCCTATGGGAAACTCTCTTCTGTTACTTATCTGCTTTGAATTTATACTTTGTCTAATGCCCGAGAGAATTAGAATTTTAGGCTGATTTCAATTAAAGAAAAAAAACACACACCTGGGGGACAGAAGACCTGAATGGCCAAGTCAGCAAGCTATCCCATACCACACCAGAAGGACTGTAGTAGAATCTTCCTGGAATCTAGGTGCTCTGGGATTCTTGGCAGTCAAAGCAAGAGAGGAAATACAATAAATTCTGTGTATACCTACATATGTACCCTGCCCCATATACATATTTTATATACAATGTAAGAGCTTTGTATTCCCTGGTGGTTCAGTGGTAAAGGATCCATCTGCCAGTGCAGGGGACGGATCCAATCCTGGTCTGGGAAGATCCCCCATCCTGCAGAGCAACTCCCCCCGTAATCCGCAGCTCCTGAACCTGTCCTCTGGAGCCTGGAAACGGCAGTGGCTGAGCCCACATGCCGACACTACCGGTGCCGTAGAAGCCGTGCTCCCCAACAAGGGAAGCACCGCAGTGAGAGGCCTGCACACCACGGTGAAGGGTAGCCCTGCTCTCCACAACTAGAGAGAAGTCCTGGCAGCATCAGAGACCCAGCATGGCCAAAAGTAAGGCAATCAGTACAGTTATTCTGAAAGAGTCCAAGCGGTTTGCTTTTGCAAAGTTTGCATATGTAACAGTCTGGGGTTAAATTAGCACCTGATCTCTACCTGTGTGTGAGGTCCTCTAGAAGGAGCTGTGAGACAAATATAATTACGGAATGGTATCCCTGCCCTCAGAGAGCTTACAGTTGAGTAGAAACATGTGAGTATGTCAAGAGCTGTTGGACGAGGGTACCCGTAGCATCTGTTGCGGGCCAGATTCTAGGCATGGCCCTGGAAACACAGTGATGCAAAAACGTAGAATTCCTACTCTGGGGCGCAAGGAAGGGTGGGGGGCGTAAACTAGGAGTTTGGGATTCATGTGTACACACTACTCTATATAAAGTAGATAATCAACAAAGACCTACTGTGTAGCAGAGGAGACTACTCAATGTTATGTGATAAACTGTATGAGAAAAGAATCTGAAAAAGAATGGATATATGTTAGGTATAACTCAATCACTTTGCTGTGCATCTGAAACCAACACAGCATTTTAAATCAACTATATTCTGGTATAAAATAAATATTTAAAAAAAGGATTCCCACCCTGGTGCAATGTACACTAGTGGACAAGGGAGGAAGTGGCACTGCACAAAATTAAGTCCCATTTTTTGAACTGCTATAAAATATATGCAAGATAAAATTTACCACCTTAATCATTTTTAAGTGTGCAGTTCAATGCACATTGTCGTGCACGTGTGCCCGCTACCCATTTACAGAACCCTTCTCATCTTGCACAAATGAAACTCCATACCCATTAAACATTAAGTCCCCACCCCCCTTCCCTGTAAGCCCCTAACCAAAAAAACAGTCTTTGATTATTAACGTGGTCAGTGCTTTGTAGAAGGTGAGCGGGGTGCTGTGACATAAAGTGATGGGGCAGCAGGAATGGTCCCCACTCAGGAGAGGTTTTTTGGGGGTGAAGACAGTCAGGCCCAGCACTGTGGGCAGGGGAGGCAGGTTGAGGGTGGGAAGAAGCAGAAGCCAGGAGAAGGAACAGCCTGTCTGAAGGCCCAGATGCTCCAAAGGGTCTGCCTTTTTCTAAAAGGAAAAAGAAAGCCGTGTATGTGGAGCAGGGGCCAGGAGGGCGGACGTTTTCGGTTGTGTGTCTGTGTGCTTTGGTGTCTCTCTGTCCCGATTCAGTAAAGTCGCCCCCAACTTGGCACTAAACTAAAATGAGCGGTGTGCGG